GTATCCAATTACAAAACATTCTTTTTGTGCACAAATCATGGGGAGCTTCTCTAGTTTCTTTAGAACACTCCTCGTCTCATATCATAATATCCTTCATTCATGTGGCTCATAGGATCTTTGGTCTAGTTGGTTCAATTGATATCCTTTGATTTCTTGCTTCAATTGGTATCTTTTGATTGCTTGATTGCTTGTTTCTCTCTTTGTTATGTCTTTGTGGCATATCATTCTTTTGCAATCTTTGGGCCTCAATATAGTTTGTGTTCCTCCAAGTATTAACCGTTGGATATGTGTATTGCATTCCACTCTCTTGTTGAGAAATACACAATTTATGGAGGACCACAATTTATATTGGTCTTCTTAGCTTTTCGCCCATTTTGGCAATCGATGCCAATGGGGGAGAAGTTTCAGAGAGTTTTGTGGATAAGTTTAGAGAGTTATCTCCTCTTGCTTTGGTTTTGTTCCTTAGCATTTGCATCTCATACGCATGCACTATTGGTTGTTGCATTGCATAGTGAAGCATAATTTCTTATATAAACTCTCTTGAAAGTGATTGTCATCAATTACCAAAATGGGGGAGATTGAAAGAACATACGGTGCCCCCATGTTTGGTTTTGGTAATTGATGACAATCTCTATGGACTAATGGTTGTCTTGAGTTATATTTGAAGGATTTGTCCATAGGATTTTCTTGAAGTCCATGTGTTGGTTTCAAGGAGTTTATGAGCTGACCAAGGTGCTATTAAGGAATTATCCAAAGATTGGTCATGCGAGTGTTGAGCTTATTGCAATCATGTCTTGAAGAAGAAGGTTGTGTGACCATTCATGTTTACCTTCAATACATCATCCAAATGAAGAGAGTTGCAAAGATTTAAGGTTGATCAAGACTAAGTCAATAGTGAATCAAGTTGATCAACTCACAAAGCGTAGAAGATGTACTGAGAGGGATCAAGTGATCCCATGGTATGGTAAGCATTGTCCATTGCACTTTGTGTACTAACCCATGGTCTATGTGAGAGTTCTATGTGGGGTTAGGTACGTATCCATGGGCTTGCATCAAGAGGAAGATATCATACAACCCATGGAAAGGATGACATCAAGTGGTGATCGTCATCAAGATTGCCGTGTGCAAGTTCAAGTGGAGCATCACGAAGAGATCAAGTGCTTGAATCTTTCCATCCATTGTGGTGTCAATGGACTTGTGAAGATGAGCCGAAGAGGGGCTCGCCCATAGTGGACTATGGGGGAGCAATCATCTAGTCTTCATCGAGCCAACGCAATCAAGAAAGGTGGTCCATCTTGAGGGAGTCAAGATCGTCATCATCTAGCTCAAGTGGACCATGTGCAAGGCAAAGGTTTGCCCTTGATAGGTTTTCTATTTTACCGGTCTCATGGTGGTAGTAGGGAGACCGGGTTATATGATCGTTTGCCGTACTATCAAGGGGGGCTCTCAAGTTGGTAGCTTGATCGTATCGTTAGTAGAGAGCTCAAACCCTTGCATCCTTGCATCATGTTTCTTGGTTCTTGTTTGGTTCTCTTTGTGAGTCTTAGAGCTTATGGTCATCTTGATGACAAGCTTGAGTTCATCGAAAACGGAGTTCACATGCGTCTTCTATGATGTTTTCGGTGTTGGAGGTTTTACCGGTCTTTTCCGAGGAAGGGTTCTCACCTTTTTCCTTTGGGACTTTTCTCATTTGCTTATTCTTGATATTTCTATCAAGATTGTGTTAGCCCAGGTCGTTGATTCGGAGTCCGTTTGCAAAAGTTGTGGCTGTTTTGGTAAAGGCTGCAGCGGTACTACCGCGACTAGAGCGGATGTAATTTTTTACTACCGCTCCAGAGCAGTACTACCGCGGCTCCTGAGCGGTAGTACCGCTCCGGACCAAAATCTCATGTTTTGCTCAGCGGAAGTAGGCACAAAAGTATTTTTTTAGTACCGCTCGCAAGCAGTAGTACCGCTACCATTTGCGGTAGTACCGTGAGGTCGAGCGGTAGTACCGTGAGGACGAGCGGTACTACCGCTCCGAAGGTTCTTTTGGCCTTTTTGCCTCCTCGCTGTTGTGTTTCGAAGGGGTACTACCGCCCTAGCGGTAGTACCGCTCCTTGGAGCGGTAGTACCGCTCTGTGCGGGCTGTGAGCATAACGGTTGGATTCGGGAGCTCCTATAAAAGTGGGTCTTCTTCCCCATTCAACCTTATCCTTTGAGCTCGTGTTCTTCCCCCATTGTTGACCTTCTTCGAGCTTGCTAACTCTCAATCCCTCCATGGATTCTTGCTAGTTTTTGAGGGAAAAGAGAGAGGAGATTTAGATCCACATTTCCACCAATCACTTTCTCCTCTATGTGAGGGGAACCCCTTGGATCTATTTCTTGGAGTTCTTGGTGTTCTCCTTCTTGTTCTTCCTCTCATTTTCCTCCCTAGCATTAGTTGCTTCCGTGGGATTTGAGAGAGAAGGACTTGGGCACTCCGTGTGCCCTTGCCATTGCATTTGGTGCATCGGTTTGAGTTCTCCACGGTGATAGGTGGAAGTTACAAGTTGAGAAGCTTATTACTCTTGGGTGCTTGGTGCCCTTGAGCTTGTTCCTCTTGGGTGCTTGGGCGCCCTAGACGGTTGGTGGTGTTCGGAGCTCAATCATTGTGGTGTAAAGCTCCGGGCAAGCATCGGGGGTCTCCAATTAGGTTGTGGAGATCGCCCCGAGCAATTTGACGAGTACCGGTGACCGCCCCCAAGGGTTGCCAAATTGTACGGGTTCGGTGACCGCCCCCAAGGGTCGCCATTTGTACGGGTTCGGTGACCGCCCTCAAGGGTCCCTTAGTTGAATCACGGCATCTTGCATTGTACGAGGGCGTGAGGAGATTACGGTGGCCCTAGTGGCTTCTTGGGGAGCATTGTGCCTCCACACCACTCCAAACGGAGATTAGCATCCACAAGGGTGTGAACTTCGGGATACATCATTGTCTCCGCGTGCCTCGGTTATCTCTTACCCGAGCCCCTTTACTTATGCACTTTACTTTGTGATAGCCATATTGTTCTTTGTCATATATCTTGCTATCACATAGTTGCTTATCTTGCTTAGCATAAGTTGTTGGTGCACATAGGTGAGCCTAGTTGTTGTAGGTTTTGTGCTTGACAAATTAACTGCTAGGTTTATTCCGCATTTGTTCAAGCCTAAACCGTAATTATTTTAAAGCGCCTATTCACCCCCCCCTCTAAGCGACATCCTCGATCTTTCATATAGGTAGGAGGAGCTAGGAGAGTCCAAATAAGGTGCGATTTTCGTCCACACGATCACGATCGAACGACCGAGAGCATGGAGGGGGTTTGGATGGGCTCATGGGTTGTGGTGAAGAGGGGCTGAGCTGCAAAGAGAGAGGGGTTTCGGTTAAGCGTTGGGGCATAAAACGACCTCCAAATGAAACGAAATTTGATAGGCGGTCTACCGGTGATATACCAAGGCCACTCGGCAAATCTCGGTCCATTCCGAGAACGTTATTCGGCGGCTCACAAAACAAGGTCTAAGAGGTGCGACGGGCGCGTGCGAGTGTGCCTGTGCTCAGAACGGACAACGGAAAGAACCGGTGGAACCCGAACGGATGCAAGTTTTGAAAAACATGCAGATGAAATGCAGATGATGACATGGCAAAAAACAACACGCAAGCAAATGACATGGCAACTACGACGAATAGCTGGAAGAGACTTGGCACATCGAATCCAGGGCGTTACAAAGTCGCTAACAAAATAAATCCAAGGAATGCATGAAGTTAATTATAATATGTTATTCCCGTAGTAAAAGAACTATCTAGGGAGGTAAGTCAAGCTAGTTAATTGCCATCAAAGAAAGTGTTGTTAACATAATCTAGTGTATGATTTTTTAAATCTAGTGTGCTGTAGCGGTATAGCAGTTGCATAGAGTAAGTTATTTTGTAACAATTGGCCTGGTAGTTCTTCGTGCCTCCAATGATCATGATAGCCATGGAACAGTGGACACGACTCACAAATCGCTCATCATAATTAGTTTAAGGTTTAAGAGGTATGAGTTGCACCTTCCTCACCTTAAAAAACAGCCTAACTAACTGTAGTGCTCATATGTTATGTACCTCGGTATCATACTTGCTACATGTTTTCATTTCTTTTCCATGTTTCTTGGTGTGTTAGGCTCTCTATATAACCTCTCATATTTTGTAGTTGATGTTTGCAAGATCCACTTAGATCTCTGATTGCTTACTCGGAAATCAGAATGCAGATTTTATCTACCACGCATCATCTATTAAGCTAGGGTAAAACTGTTGTTTCGTCATGGCATCGGTGTAGATATTAGAGGAAACTGACCAGTTCATATGCTGACTTCCATTCCATGACTCATATCTTCAATGGGTTTTCAAAACCTTGAAGCAGGAGGGGCCTATGTATATTTTGTTTTCCTAGAAATGATTCTCAAATATGTCAAGGGTTCGTATCAATACCTAAAATTGAGTTAATTAACAGGCTTCTCCGTATAGCCGGAGGGGGCTATCCTGGATTGAGAGTTGCGGTCCAGCTTGCTCAATGTGGCGTAGTAAGATGACAAGTCGATGTACTAAGGACTAAGAATTATACAAGTTTAATATATAGACTTAGCCTTCTCGCTAGAAAAAAAGGAAAAAAGTAGCCAGTCGGGCAAAAGAATCAACCAGTGCAGTGTCAACAGGATGAGCACAATGTATTCATCCTTTCCCTCGATCCACCGATTGCATTGGATCATTGCAACATAAGTTCGTCGAGATATTTTGTTTTTGAAAGAAAATCCATCCTTGTTCATATAGTAAAATGTTAAATAAAAGGTTCACTTGGAGAAAGAAAATGTAGTACAGTACAAGCAGGCGAGCTACCTACTGAAGCGAGTGGAAGCTCGTGGAGGGATATTTTTCTCCCCTTCGAGCAGCTGAGCTACGCTCCCCACCCCTCCCTGTCCACTCGCGCCTCCTTCTCCCGCTCCGCTCGCGTCGCGCCGTGCGCGGCGGGTAAATGGCCACGGCGGCGCTCCGCTTCCCGCCCTGCCTCTCCTCGCGCGCCGCGCCTACCACCACCGCCGCCACCTGCACCCGGAGGACGGCGTCAGCCACCCTCAGGGTCGCCGCGCAGCCCGAGTCCGCCTCCGCCTCTGCCCCCACCTCCACGCCCGACGCGCCGCCGGAGTTCTCGCCTCCGGCAGGGTTCGCGCCTCCGGTGCCCAAGCGCTTCGCGGTCAAGGATGGCCAGCTCGCCAGCGTCGCCGGCGCGGCCCTCGCCCTGCCTTTCCGCCTCGGCACCGGCCTCTTCGTCCTAGGGTTCGTCCCCTCCAATCCTTCTCCAGTTGGGCTTGTAAGATGCAAATCTGTTCCGATTAAGAACCACAGTGGAATCTGTCCAAATGAGCTGCTACTGCTTCAGCAATTAGCAATGTGTAGTTACTTCGATGTCAATAATTAGTACTCGTAGTAATTAGCAACGTGTAGTTACTTTGGTGTCAATAATTAGCAGTGCCTGGTTAATTTGGTGTCAGTGATCCGCGAAAATTAGCTCAGTACCGTCGCCGGCGAAGAAATGCGAATGGGAAATTCCTCTTCAGTTTGAAGATTTCGTCTCACATTGAGCTGTATTCATATCTAGTGGTCGGTTTCTCATTTCTATGTGCCTGCGATGTGCAGATACTCGGTATCACTAGTCTCCGCTGACAAAATACCCCCAGACCAATACTCTCTGGAATTTCTAGGTGAATTTCTCTAATTCCCCATTTTTGCTAGCTAAGATCATTTTATTTTACTTGTTCAGTGCCTATTATGTTTCAATTTAAAGGAGTAGTACACAAATACATTTGTTTCTTATTTAAGGTCTGAAGGTGAAGGAGACCTCAAAGATAGATCAGTGCCGTCGACCAGAAAAACCTATCGAGATATACGAGTTTGAAGGGTATGAGTTTTCTTTCAATTGAGATTCGTAACTTTCCATTGAGAAAAATGATGGTCCTGCATATCTATAATTGGACATGCTTTTTTATATATACCAAGGGCTAATATTTTTCTTTGCTTCTGATTCTTGGCTTCACTTATTGGTGTATTCTGGCTAAAACTTTCAGATGTCCATTTTGTCGAAAGGTGAATGTCCTTTTAGTTTACTGCATCTGCATTTTGTAGTTGTCATTTTCCATGTTTGGAAAATCTCGGTGTTTATGGTTGCCATGTACAATTTTCAGGTGAGAGAGATGGTATCCGTGTTGGACCTTGATGTTTTATTTTACCCCTGTCCTCAAAAGGGGCCAACATTTCGTCCAAAGGTTTTAGAGATGGGTGGGAAGAAACAGTTCCCTTACATGGTATGCAAGAATTCCTCACCAGTTCTATGGTTTGTTAGGTTATATGTGATCGCTACCATTTCCAATTTTACATATCTCTCTAATGTAGTTTCTGAATTATGTTCGACAAACAAGCATGAGCCCAGCAGAATCACCATTAACTAATACTCACTATGTTCCGAAATGTAAGAAGTTCTTGGTTTATTCTAAGTCAATATTCTTCATGTTTGACCAACTTTATAGAGAATTGTACTAACATCTACATTCTACAATATCAACTTAGTATCATTAAATCCATTATGAAATATGTTTTATAATATACTCACTTGGTGTTGTACTGTTGTGAATGTTGATGTATCTTTCTATAAATTTGGTTAAACTTGATACAGGTTGACTTAGGACAAAGATAGAACTTCTTAGATTTTGTAATAGAGGGGGTATTAATATTTCTGAACTTCTTGTTTCCTGGCAAAATGGGTTTTTTGTCATATTTTTGCAGTCTTATGCTGCAATGCCATGCGTTTTGTCATTCATTAGTAAGCAGACATGTTATGATTTGTCATACTGTTGCAGTTCTCTGCTGCAATGTGTTTTGCCATTAACTAGTAAGCAGACATCGGGTGTTTTGTCATGTTGTTGCAGACTTCTGCTGCAATGTGTTTTGCAGTTATTAGTCAAAACCGTTAGTTCTTCTATGTTGCCTAAAAAATGCTGTGTGAAAGCAAAATTATATCTTCATTTAAGATAATCATATGTTGCAGGTGGATCCAAACACCGGAGTTGCCATGTATGAATCAGATGCCATTATAAAATACCTTGCGGACACATACGGTTTGTATCTCATCATTTATTTTACCAGACCTTGCTTGCCCTGTTCCTCACAGGGTCCTTCCTGTTAGCTCCTTCTCTGTGTTTGTCTTTCAGGTGATGGAACTGTCCCGATTATGCTATCGCTTGGTCTATTTACGGTAAGTAATTAAGTATTCCATAATCCAAAAGTATAGACTATGTTCAGAAGCACATCACCGTTTATTTATACGCGATCTTTATTTACCATATGTTCATGATTTTGTTACTGTTTGACTTAAGTATGATGGTTTAATATTAGTTAGTAATCAGTTGTGCAAAAGCTGATGCTTTATGGCTTATTTTGTAGACAATAACAGCAGGGCTTGCTATGATTTGGCGTGTATGGAAGGTAGATTGCCAGTAAACCATATAAGCATGTATACAGTATGTGCCCTCTGAATGTTTTTGCTCAAACCGGGCTGACCCATATTGTTTGCAGGGATCTTCCTACACTGTTTCAAAGCTTCCACCCCAGCCGATAGAGATCTGGGCATACGAGGTTTAATTCTTCTCTGATGCCCATCCATAGCATCTGGGGTCATTATTTCCTTTTTGTTCCCGTGTGGTACCAGTTCGAGAACCTGATGAGCACATGTTTTGTCATCAGGGATCTCCTTTCTGTAAAATAGCACGAGAGGCCCTTGTTGAATTGGAGTTGCCACACCTGCTACACAGGTATTCGATATTGGAAACTTCACGAAAAATCTGTAAATAGAAGCTAAATACTCAGCCATCATAGGATCTACTTTTTATATATGCCATAAGTGCAGTATCTTGTTGACACAATACATCCTTGTAGCGTCAAACATTGGAATTAACTTTTACTTTTTTGCTGCAGTTGTGCTCGTGGCAGCCCCAAGCGACAGGAAATTTTCAAGAAACATGGCCTTTTCCAGGTCTGGAACCTTGTGAACATGCTGTTGCTAAACCTTTGCTTTCGCATGGCCTAGTAGTGTGTGACATTTATCATATTGTCTTTGCAGGCGCCTTATATCGAGGATCCTAACACGGGGGTCAAGATGTTCGAAAGCGCTGAGATCGTAGAGTACCTAAGGGCAACATATTCACTCTATCCTCAGTACCAAAATCTCTGAAGTGTCGATATATAGTATGGATTTAGAATATATTCTTTACAATAAGCCGCCGAGTCCCAAATGCAGTGTAAAAGTTGTATTCATCCACTTGCTATGATGGCGACCTGGGGTTATATGGTAGAGAAGGAAGAACCAGGCCAAGTATTGTTGAGTACCGTCAAATGTTACCCTTGAGATTTTTTATGGTTGTGCGAAACCATGTGGAGATGAAATTTTGTAGCACGGGAACATGTTGGATTTATGATGCAAAGGAAGACATATGTAATGTGTAAAATCATACATATGCAAATAAGGTAGTATTTCCTCCGTTTTTAAATATCGTTTTTAAATATAAGACCTTTCAGAGATTTCAATACAAACTACATATAGATATATAGATGCATTTTAGAGTGTAGATTGACACATTTTGTTTCGTATGCAGTTTGTATTGAAATCTCTAAAAAGTCTTATATTTAGGAACGAAGGGAGTAGAAACTAGAAATACTTATTTTTTTGGAGAGAGAAACTAGAAATACTTGTTTTGTAGAGAAACTAGAAATTGAACATATAAAGGATGAGCTAGTGCATGCGCCCAACTAGTGGCACCAGCCACGTCTCCTTTTATTCATCTATGAGTAGTGCGTGCATAGTGCGTGCATTGCTGTAGCGACGAGCGAAGGGATAAGGTCCTGAGCGCCGCATCCAGCATCCTCTCCTCTCCCTTTCCCCTCGCTCGCTTCCCCCTCCTGAGGCCCGCAGATCCCTAGTACTTTGAAGAGACGAGATCCATAAATTACAGTGAATAATGCTGAATGTTTTATTGGAAAAGGGAAATAGAGGTTAGGCAATACTCGAGTCCAACATTATACTGTAAAGTTGTAATCTAATAACAAGTAAGATCAACAAATAATTAGGGGGTGACATGATAAAATTATCAACAAATAATTTGAATTGCCAAAACGTCATATATTTAGGAACAGCAGGAGTATATGGTAATACAAGATAAAACTAGCCGCACAAATGCGCGAGCCATATGGCCCACACCGCAGATTATTAATTTGACAAGTATGATAGTTTTGCACTAGTACAACTTACTACTCCTCCGTCCCGAATTACTTGTTACAGAAATGGATGTATCTAGACGTATATTTAGCTCTAGATACACCAATTTCTACCCTTTTTAGTGACAAGAAATTCAGGACGGAGGGAGTATATATAAAATCAAGTCTAAGAATGATCATCCAGATATTGTGACAGACCACGGAAAAATCCTGGCACATGCTACACGGATGATAGATTTTGCGTCATAAGTAATAATCCAATTAGCAGTATAGCTCATGAGTTGTACATGTTATTTGGTGTCATACTTGTGGCATGCTTCCCAAGTTTCTTCAGCTGCATTGAGCACAATATATACCCTCTCATATTTCACCATATTCACTCATGTTTGCACTATCCAGCCCTCTGCTTATTTAGCCAGGAATTTAAGATTCAAGTTCAGGTACCAACCATCACATTGATGATCTAGGTATCATATCTAGAATATAATTTTTGTGGTGTGATGTGACTGCAAGTTGAGATATTAGATGGAACTGAGGTATCTAGGCAGCCGCGACCCACCAAAAGTCCTGTTGCCTAGGTTTCTTGCCCCCAGGCTGGATGTTCTTGAGGGCCAACCCAACCGTTTTATTATGTTTAACATGCTGGACAGTGTAACCTGGGTGGACAGCCACCATTGCTCTTTGCGATGATGACTTATACGCCCAAGGGTTTCAATAACACTTATAGGCGGCGGAACCACTTCAAAATGTTCAATCCTATTGTGCCAAGGTCCACCAAATTGCCCATTGGCCACTATTACCCGGAGCTACTACCTCCGTATGCAAAGGGCAATGCAAGATCACACGAAGAGCTCTATAACCTAGTTCCCTTGGGTATAGTTGCCGTCAGACGCGCATTTAGGACATTAGCGTATGTCACACCACGCGAGTGTGGCGGACCTTAGATCCGTGTTGTCACCTTAATAGTCATGTTCTATGAAGGGCAGTGCTTTGATAAGCTCAACACAAGACTCAAGAATCAGTGGGATAGACCAGGAGCAATCTACATGCTCCATGATATGGACAGACCGTGTTAAACACACACATCCATGAAAAAAATAATCTTTACATTGCACTGCATTATGTGTGATCCTAGTATGCTTTTTAATCGAAAATCCAGTGTGTGTATAAACTGAATTTGAAGCCTTTTTTTAGAAGTATTTAATAATTTCCATGACATCCAATCCAAGTTGCTGAGAAACAAAACTTTGGTCGGTAAGGAGTTGGCCACTACTTGGCTGCCCCCGTAGTTCAGAAAACAGATCGGGTGCCCAGCGTTTGTGAGTCTTAACCACGTAAAGGTTAAGCAGTCCTAAATAGTGAGGCAAGTTCGGTTCTGTTCACAGTTGGGCAACCATTATGGCGTTATCATCCTCACACGCTCTATCAACTGTCCAAAAAAAAGGTAGAACATGTATTGTATATATCTATATATCCCGCTCCCCAAAACAAACCTAACTAACGCTACTACTCATACCTTGTGCACCTTAGTGTCATACTTCTCGCCTCACATGGATCACCTTACTGAGCACCACCATCACTAAAAAAGGAGAGAGACACGAGAACAATACACATTACCATTATAGTACTTTGCATATTTATTTGACCATTAAATTGAGAGAATCACATTAGTTATATTAGTTGTATTCACCCACTTGCTATGGTGCCCGTGAATTGTCCCACTTGAGATTTTTTTTATGGTGACCTGAAACTATACGGATATGAAACTTTGTAGCATGGGAAACATGTCAAATTTATGATGCAAAGAAGTACATATGTAGTATGTAGCACCGGATACTTTATTGGAAGAAGGAAGTAAAGACGATAAACGAACATGATGATTTGAGTTGGCAATACTCATGTCCAACATTTTATAGATCAATGCAAAACCAAACAGAACATTGGCTAACTAATGATTGCCGGAACGAAGCAAAATAGTAGAATGATGAACGTGCAAGATGGTGGTGAAGACTCGACGTAGTGAGGCGGCATGCCGGTCTATGGGCGAGTGGGGAGCACAAGGTGCGGGGGTGGAGGGCCGGAAGGTGCGTAGTGGTTCCGGCCGCCTGTTGAAAGCGCGAGACGAGTGAGAGTGACATTGAGGAAGGTTGTGTACAGTGGCATTATATTAACAATTCTACATACGATAACTGATGAAGTGAAAGAATGCGAAATAAAGAGGGGGCATGATTAAGCTAATTGATGATCTCTTAATAAGAAATAGAAGCCTATGTCATGTACCAGATGTCTTCTGTCATTAATTTTTTCTAGATTAATTTTAGTCACCCATTTAAGATCATGCAACTATTAATTGCTAGAGATAATACGTACTGTAGCATGTTATTTTCGCTTCTTTAGAAGACTTAAATACATAACAGAAGACCGCCTTATCAACCATTGTACATGTCCTTAGGAGGACGATACTTAGACATTTTCTATGTGGAAAGCCAGCATGTGTGCCATGGCTTTCCTACAAGCACATGACCTATAGACCATATAGAACTGATGTTTTTCATACTAGTCAAATTGGAATAAAATATAAAAAATGACTTCAACAGTTCACGGATGATATTATGCTATAATGCTTTCGATATTGAATTTGAAAAAAGAAGATCATGCAGATAGTGTCGACTGCATGAAAAAAATCATGCGACATGCTACACGGATGGATAGATAGATTTGAAGAAAAAAGAAGTCCAATAAATAATAGCAGCTCATTAGTTGTACATGGTTCTTGCTGTCATACTTGCTACATGATTGCCAAGTTCTTCGGTGGTGTTGGGGTCAATATATATATCCTGCATATTTCACTATATCTATTCATATTTGAGCTATCCTGCCCTCTGTTTCTATTTCTGCGAGGCTGCCATGAGCTTATATAGCCAGGAATCTAGATGTGATTTTTGTCTAGCACACAACAGTTTGATTCAGCTGGTATCTTGTCTACACCAAATATTTTGTCGTGTGATAGGGCAGAAGTTGAGATATTAAAGAAAACTGACCAGCTCATGTATTCCGCTTTGACTCAACCTTCAAGGTTCAGGGCTGCACTCGCCTCGCATCGTATGTTGCCGCAAGCTTCGTCAACGTGCTTTCGAAGGCTTGGGCCGCCATGATTGTCCCGTTTGTTAGAGTAATCTAAACCTATTGGCGCAAGTTAGGATACATGTTGTGTCATGATAGTTAATTAGTGAGTCCGGCTAGGATTAGTGATCAGACCCGTGTCCTGTGCTAGTAATAGTTTAGGTCAGATTGAGTCTGTGTACTAGTCTAGGCTAAGTTTAGTTATTGTCCGAGTGGAGTTGGAGTACGCTGTACGCATAGGT